ATTTATCGTATTTGGTGCCTGCTCACTGTGAGACAAATTATGTACATTAACAAACTACTGCTTTGATGAGCTATACCCTACTAATGTGCATGGAACTAAGTATGTGAAAAATACCCTAAGTTTTATTCCACAAGGCTCTAAATATGTTATTTTAACATAGTATTTCAGCCTCAGCTGGCCATATCCTTGTTGTGCAAAACAGTTCTCTGACAGCCTAGCTATTTTTAAGAAGCTTGAAATTTTGAACTAACAAAGCAATATATCTAATCAAAGCAATTTTAGGTGAAGAATTATTTTTGTTTCATTACTAAGCTCCCATATAAATGGGCAAACGATAAGGCAGGTTGCAAAACTGCACAATGGATGACTTAAAAAAGAGATGAAAAGGAAAGGTAAAAAAATATTTGTGAGCAGAAAACTCAGAAATAGCAGTAATTGTATTTGCTATTTATAGAGTTACTTTTATCTCAAAAGATCCTAAACCATCTTATCTTGGGTAAGATTGTAACCTGAACTACATATAAAGAATAAGAGACAGAGAAACTTGTGAAGTCCTGTTTGTAGAATTTCCAATTGTTTGCTCCCTCAAGAGCATGTAGGCTTCATACCTTCAAAGGAGAATAGGAAATAGATAACAAAATTTGAGTTCATGATGTAGTGTAAACAAAGACATTGCAAACTGCTGAATTCATCTACTCAGAAAAGGTGGTAGGTAGAGTTAATGCTGTCAAAGAGGAAAAGCTGTCGTTCAAGGTGCACTATACATATTTCATAACTGATTCTCAGAACATTAAAACTCATAGACCTCATAAACCTTTGCGCTTACCATAGCAATGCAAAGTTCATACCTGTGGCAAGATAGATGATATGGAAAAGCATGTCCTTGCCCTGCACAACATCCACGACCACATGGGAAAATCGGCTGTTGTCTTCCATGAAGTAAGGAATTGGAATAACTGGTTGAACGACCTCATGCATTAAGAAGAATTTTTGAGCATCTTGAAGATTTCTCTCAGTCAGATTTACATACAAACCCTGGTCCATGGTGCCACACTGTCAACACAGAAAAGCAATATTATCATATGCATCAATGATAACAACAGATTTACTCTCCAATTTACAGCACAAGAAAATAAAAAACAAGAGTATATTTTGTAATGACACTGTGGAATTCCACTTTCAGGTCTTATTTTGGTGCTGACCTCTGTCCACACAGTGATTGAGGAATCTCTGCTTTCCCAAGGCAGTACTAAGGAGGCTCTCTACTTCTAAACAATATGGAAAGACACCAGACTGATCACCACAAGTGGGCTATAGTAATATTTTTCTATATCCTATGTTCACAGGGCAGGAAGGAGAAAAACTACCATCCAACAAACCACAGAAATTTCTGACTAGTTTTCTGTATTATTTACACAGACACAACGCTAACGACATAACAAATTTTCAAAGGAAACCTCATGTCCTACCACAGCCAGCGTCTGACAGAAATCTCAGGTCCAACTTCACCCAGAGTTCTAGCTGCTGCTTCAGGCCTTGTGTTTACTACTGAAGTGACAGTGCAGAGCTCTAACTATATAGTGTTATCCATGGCAAAGACATTTTCGCTTTGGAACTGACTGTACTTTATATCTAAAAATTGTGCTCTTTTCGTACAAGAATGCATTCACTAATTGCACACACAAATTTCAAGCACAAATAATGCAAAATAAGGGGCAGATAATTTTAGCATCTTTGTATTTAAGTCTTCAAGTAACTGAGGACACAAAAGAGAAAGGTGCTCAGCGCATGTGAATATGTAAACATTCACATGTTTACTCACTCGTAATTACATCAGAGAAGTAAAGCAGTTCTTCGCAATATTTATCAGATATGTCAGTGATGTGAAAGGCAGACCTAAGTCATACTTTTTCATTTTACTCTACTATGTCATAAACTATACTGTGAATTACAGCATTAATAAAATAATACAGTATGCAAAACCGTAATAGTTATTTTTTTCATTATTGCCATGTTTTCAATCTGAGATTAAGTGATCATCCCAAATCTACAAATGTTAAGAAAAACTCAAATAAATAATATCATAATGACAGATGATATGATGAGGAAAAACAGTTAAGCATCTCGCAGGAAACAATTGCTTGCTCTGTGAGCACCTTGCATGTCAGGCCAGTTAAAACAATAAACCACACCAAATAATTTCTCTGAATCTATCAAGCAGGAAAGATTTCAGCTGGAACACACATAGTACACTGAAGTACATATGGTCTTTGGTCTTATGATGGAATTTGTCCTGTGTAAAGAGAAAAAGTAACAATCTCTGGAGAAAAACAGTGTTCCTCAAATCTGGGACTACAATAGTATTCTAATCTGGAAAATATTTAATTAGTATAGTCCAGTCTTGGAAATACAATGTCTGATGTAACTATCAGTACATAGCAGTAGTCTTCCTTCAAATCACATACTTCTGTCTGTTACTGCTGAGTCGGTGAAAACTCTGAGGATAAATCTACTTGTAAGAGTACATAAATAGAACTTCTGATATGTTATCATAAGCAGTCTAAAAAAGAAAAGTCCTTCTTTCTGGGAAGGAGACCAGTGACTCAGCCAATGCATATATCTCATGTACTCTAAAGCACCATCAAGTCATAAAAAACAGTTACACCTAGCTCGAAGCATTAGACTAGCTTCTGGTATACATCATTGCTGCAGTTAGGGAGCCACAAATCTAACAGAAAGTTCAACAGAATAAAAGATAGCACCTGCAAAAGAACAGAAGTTCAACATCACTAATGATACCTAGAGATCAGTTAGTGTCAATTTGCTTCAATACTGTGTTGTATAAGGCCACATTACAGCTTTACATACTGGCACTGGCCTGAAAAGCTGTTGCTCAATGAGATATGATACATCTGTTGCCACTGTTCTTGTAAATTTGACAAAATAACAGCCATATTAAAATAAGCCAGGCTATCCAAGCAAGAAATTTCTTCAACACCTCAGGAGCAGCACTGAACTCATGAAATTGCATTGACATTTAGGGAGGGTGAAAAGTGGATCAAGATGAATACTCTTAAGCATCTTGGTGAAAAGTTATTGTTGTTAATCACTAAACTAATGCTGTTTTCCCTTCCATTTCCTTTGCTAGAAGCACACTCACTAAAATTGTTCTAGTAGTAGTGGTGACTATGCAGAAGAAGAAAATGTATATGTGCTTACCTAAAATACACTTTTCTTTTTGTAGAAAGTTTCACTGAGTGACTCACCTTGGACTAATTAGTTTTACGTGGTCAGCCAACTGATTATTACACCCTCTGAGGCTGACAAGTTCAAATGAGGGGCACACCACATCACCAGTTCTTTTAATTGGACTCTTCAGGGAGGATGGAGAGAACATGGACCATATGCACAGGAAAACATACAAAATCCTGACGGCTCCTCCTTTATCCTTCTACACTCCCCTTTCTTTATATTGTCAAACAATGTTCCTTTTCAGGTTCTAATTGTACAAATAAAATGTAAAAGAGAATAGCAGTTTGATCATACTTCAGCCAGGAATAAATTTACCTTGACAAATAGCTATAGTGTTTCATTTTGACAGAAGATTGAAGTTAAAGACTTTCTCCTACCCTTCAAAGCACATCTGCTTTTCAACTCGAATTATTTTGTGGAAAAATAAAATTAATTATGTTGAAATAAGGGAACGTTTTAAGACTTTTTTTTTTTTTTGTAATTTTTTTAAGGTCTTAGGCCATAACATACTGCAAAACTGAACTTATTAACTATGAACCATACAGCACTTTGAAAAAATGTCAAGTGAACTGTTGTCCTTCTCCCACACACTTGTACCTGAAAATTAGGGTTGGGATTGGGATATGGAAGCCAAGCAGAGCGAGAGTTTTCCTGGTATTTGAAGGGTCCATTAAAGGCCTGAGTTATGGCACTCAGGTTGAAAACACAAACTGCTGAGGCTGCTATGCTGTTCCTGCAAAAGAAATACAAACATTAACTTAAGTAACAACATTAAGAAGTCCATTTACTGAAAAATAAATAAAAAAGGCAATAACTCTCCCATCCTTTAAGTAATTAATAAAGCAGACATGATTAGCCAGGAGATGATAACTCAAGATAATGATATATGATGTGTTGATTTAGGCACAGACATTGGATTTTAAATTTTTGTCAAGTAGCTGATGCGGAAGACACTCAGACCTTCCTAACTTCTGCTGCTGCTCTAATACTACAAGGCCATACTTCCACCCATAATCACATGCATCAGGGACACCTTTCTGCTAGCTACAAAGTTCAGGATGAGATTATTCTCAGGGCTCATTAATGTTTCTTCTATACAACCAATAGCAGCACAATGGAGGCAAGGATTTTCAATGTATGATATGTCTTTAGACGCTATGGAACCCCTGGGTAAGACACTTCCACAAAAATCCTGTCTTCCAAGGGATGTTGTACAGCAATAAGTATGCAAGTTCCAGAAACCCATCCAGAGAAAACAGCTTGGACTGCATTCTTTACAACGTATCCTGTTAGAGGAATAGACAGAAATAAACAGCAGCCAGGCAAAACATACAATTTCCTGTTCTTATCTTGAAAATGTGATATACATGAAAATAAAGTTATTTTTGCACAGTGTAAAGAATATAATCCAGTGACTATGAGAGCTCATAATATGGAAAACTGCATTGTTCTTTTCCACAATTTGAGATAAAGGCATAGATAATGAAGATGGCAGTTGCACAAATTACGTCTTCAGGTAAAACTGCTGACAATTGATCTACATAGCATTCTTTTATTTTATTTTATTTTTTTTTTTAAAAAAAAAACTTAGCCTGTAATTTACACAAGGCTTAAGAAAGCCTACTATAGAAACTCCAAGATGATGGAAATAAAAAAAAACCCCAGGGGATCAAATCTACAAAGAACTGAGAAAAAGAATTAGGATGTATGGATTTAATAGCAGGACAAAAGAGCAATTTTCTTTCTTATGCTTGTCACTCTTACTTCAAAGAAACCCCAAAACTTGAAGTTTCATGGTAACAATTTCTGCAGAATCAATTATCATTGGATTTGATAATTTCTTGCCTATATAAACTATTACTACATGCAGCTCACTAATATTATTAACTATACCGATGTCTTCTTGAATTTCTTGAAGTCCTTAAAGGACATTAGCTCATGCTTATAGATTTTCAGATAGTCTGAAAGAAACAAAATCAGCTTCGTCATGAAGCAATGGCTATAGTGGACTTAATAGTCAACCACACATAAAGGATGCAGGTTTTGCCATTACTCAATCTTTATTGACAGAAATACCTCATTTTTTTCCCCACAAGTACATTAAAGTGTATTCACAGTATTTTTTTTTTTTGAAAAGCATTAGGGTAAAACAAAATCGTTGCAATTCTGAAGATACTGAGACTGAAGAATGCCAAATGTGGTTCATCTACAATATCTGATGTAATATCTGATACTGGTACATCAACAGAAAGGAATATGTTGTTCCCCCTCAAGGAAAACCTTGGGGCTTCTCCACTGTCAGGTTAAGGTCTAAAAGGTAGATCATACTGGTTGTGCAGATATATCTGTGAAGAGGTATTCACATGGGAAATAATCCTAACTCTGCAACATTTCAACAATGCCCAAAAATTTAGTTACAATATTTGATGGCATGAACAAACATAATTTAAATAGAGCTATCAAAAAACCCCACCCCCAAACAGTTGTAATTAATTCCTCTATGAACAGTCCATTTATGTTCAACAAGGCAGAATGCTGAGCCATTGGGGAAAAAGAAAGTAGCAGCAAGGTTTCAAATACTGCCTACTTTCATATGGCAATATAGTCTTACATTAGCAAGTCCATTTTCAGAGGAGCCAGAGTGTGCTGATGGCAGCCCTGATATCGTTACTCAAACTCAGAAACTGTGGAATTTGTAGCACAGGAAAATCCATGATTCCCCAAATTGTCAGAACAGCCCTTCTGAGAGAAGAGCATGGTTCCCCTTTCATGGCAAAAGCCCTGTGGATTTTCTGGAGCAGAATTCCTCCAGTCAGGCAGCCCCTCACTAGTCATGCTCACAGTCTGAGCTGCTGGCCCAGGGACTAGTCTGAGTCTGCAAGATGCCTAGATGTGTTAATTAAGGACTGTATCAAAAGTATGAATGCTAGCTTAAGCTCAAATTCATGCTCACTGTCTAAAATACTCAGGTATCATAATTTTTCCACCTGGTTAATGGATATTTATAGGAGGTAGATATCCAGGTGTTTACATCAGTAGTAAGGGACACTGATCTATGTTTCAGGTGCCCAAGTACCTTTTAAAATTCTAGGCAAAATTGACTTACACTGCAAGCAGGTAAGAGAATCAGAAACCAAGAGCTGAAACTGGTCCTGTGGTCCGAGCACTGGGCTGCACAACCATAACACATAGGCTGCTCTCACCAAGCAACATATGAACTCCAGTTATCATGTTTAAAGCAACAAAGGACATTTCTGAGATGAATGTCTCCTTTTTCCTGAGAGTTAAGCAACTCCTGATATCACACTCAGAATCTAGGGAGATTTCACATCCATCCAATCTTCTAATATTTAAAAATCTAATTTTTAAAATCAAAGTGTACATTTTTTAATTCTACCTTGTTGATATAAGAGGTTCAGTTAAAATTAGATTAAATTCTTGGTTTGATCCTGAAACTCACATAAGTATGTTAGGACTAATTTAAAAGACCTAAGAGCACCTCTTGTGCTCCTTCAGGTAAGGTGAGCTCTTCCTGACATGGTCCAATTACATCAAGTCAAGTTCATGATCACATCACATTATAATTATAAAATATTTATTTCATAAATACATAATGTATTTATGTATTACAATAGTGTGCAAAATAAAAGATAATGTCTTCATAAGAACGCATGAAAAAGTTGACTGAATAGTCTTAAATGTAACTGGCTCCCTGCTGTAAGGAAATACTAAGAATTCTTCCTTCTTTCATACGCCTTCAACAATTCATGTGGGAAGCATTTGGAATTGACACTTGTTCACAAGAGGACAGTGGATTGGGTAAAACAGTAGTTTGAACTTATGATGTTTACTTGGCATACGCAGAAGAGAGACGCTCAGTAGCTTTAGTTTTTACTGTTACAAAGACCAAGAAAATAAAATGTATCATGGAATTTACTTACACATTAGTGGTAAAAATCCCATAGATCAAGTCCAATTCTGGCAGGAAGAAAGTGCTCTGTAGTTCATTATAGTAAAATGGAATTTCTCCAGGGCGAGAGCAGTTGAGCCGAGCTTTCATGAAAGTAGTCCAGGTATCCTCCAGCACGAACTTGCCACCAATATCATTTTTGCACACCCGAGCAGCACGAGAGAAGACTGTTTTCCCACAGTCGTGTTCCACTGCATTCTCCCGGAAGAAGAAGTAGGTAAAGTTCCCAATGTCATAAGATGACACAAAATTTGGTTCTGAAAATAACAGAAGAAAAGATTATTTATCGCTTTCTTACGACATGTGCACTTATATTAACATGGAAATAGGATTTATCTGCAAAAATTAGATTTAGAAAAACACATCTTTTATTATTCTTGCAGGGAATTGGCCCAATGACATCTGAGCAGGCCAGCTCATGTCCAGCCAGGATTATGAGCTACATGAACATGGCTAGATAGACTCTCTGCCCTGGGAGTCTACCACACATGACTGTGCTCGGCAGCCCTGGCTCAGCTCACTGTGTTCTACCATCAAAAGCATCACTGAGTTCTTCTCCACGTTTAGGCATAGCATATTCATACAACGTAATAATTACTTGATCTGCTGTCTGTTAACTCTGTTTCTGCTTCACCACCATGCCATTACTCCAGATTAGCAGAATAACGGATGGTAACTGAGTGTGACTAAGAATGTGTTCAGAGGCTGTAATGAAAAGAGATAACCCTACGCAAGAGCATTTGATGGTAAGATAATCACATTTCAGCCCTCTCTCACTTAAAGTTTTTGATAGTATTAGGTATTTTTTTCTTGTTTTTTTTTTAAAAAAAAAAAGATTAAAAACAAAGGAGCTGACAGTGATGCAGGAGGAATTAGAGAATATATATTAAAAAATAATCTAGAAAATAACGGGTGGCAGCATTTCTTAAAAGAAAAAAAGGAAACAGTGGATGCCAAAGACGATAAACGTGGCCCATTTCCTATAAGGATTACTAAAACTGAGAAAAGTCCATGACCTTAGGAGAGATTGACAATCTGATGAGAGACAAATTTGATACACAGATTTGTGGAGAAGAGCCACCTTGTGTAAAGAACTATTATAGAACACTAGTACCTCTGAGAAACAAACAAAATTTTTGTTTTCATTCCCAAATTTTATTCTAAAGTGAGAAAACAAAGAAACAAACAAAATTGTTTTAAAAGCATCTATTGTGAGGAAACATTCCAAAGAAATTTAATAGGTGAACATTTCTTGGTAGCACTATTGTATCGAAAAAAAGTTGCTGTAATTGAATCTAAGCATTTTTCAGGAACATCATAATCTTCTCAAAACTTTTGAGAGGCATTTCCACACAGAAGTCCACATTCTGTCATATAGCTCTTCTCCAGAGATGGCCCAGCTCCCAGCTTATGTGCTGCTTCCCTCTCTCTCTGCTGTGCAGTCTCCAGGGCAGGTTTTTTGGCAGCAAGTCATCAGCCACCTAGGATATTTGAAGCTGAGCAGATACGATATTGCTCTCACTCCTCCTTGTAACTTCAACTCATTATCATATTAAGCATTTCCTTGAGATTAGTCTGTAACACACCACATTTTCCCCACACTCAGATCTGCACAGGTGTTTTGCTAGAACATAGCAATCAAACACTTTTGAGGAGAATTTGTTGATATCCTGAGCTACATAGTATGCATAGTATGTATGAGTTACATAGTACCAGTGCAATTATGTCTTTAAAAAAAAAAAGGGCAAAATATAGTTTGACAGGTCTTGTGATAGCAATAAAGGTAAAATTGGATTGACAATATAAAAAGAGCTAAACTATTAGTAATGTTTTCCCTATTAGAACCTCATATCTTCATTCCACATGTGTGTAAAACTTCCATTTCAAGAGGGATTTTGCTTCAAAGGCTTCAAAATCCTTTAAAATTCATTATTAGTGTTCACAGATTTGTAGAAATAATTCTTACTTGCTCATGAGCTTTCATTCTTATATATAACACATAATACTGTTACACATTTACATACTAAACACTGAAATTGGAGAAAGCTGAAAAAGAGACCTTACTTTTTAAGTTTGTTAATCTTTTCTTTCTCTAAAAATGTGCATGTTTACTGAATAGGTAACAGGGTAGAATGATATATAAGATTTAATTACAAGTATTAATGCTAAGATGACAAAAATATGTGGCTAAAAATCACAACATTGTATACTATCACATTCTAGACAGGTTAGGTTTGGCAGGCATCAAATATTAAATATATATCTAGAGACATGTGCATGCAAAGCCTTTTTTTTTGGTATTGTAACACCCAATTATGTTTCATTCATTCTCAATACACATCAGTGTTTTCAGCTCTATGGAACACACTTGTTATTTATTTAACTAAAGCATACTAGAAATAAAATCTTTTTAGGAACACCAGGCTACCTAAAACAAGAGAGTTTTGTCTGTCCCTCATTATCCAACTTCAATTTATATCCCTACCACATCTGGACATTATTTCTCTTAATCTGTAAGGTATTTTCTTCCCTAAGTCTACACAATATCCTTTCAGATTTTTCTTATACTCATGGAAGGAACTACTGTCTGTGAAAGAATGAAAAGCCATTCATAAATTTGAATATAACTCGGGCTACTTCTCCACCATACTAAGGTTAGGTCTTAATTAAAGCAATATCCACTAAAGGTAGGCATTAAGAAAAACAATCCACCTGAAATAGAATGAAAAAGTAAAATTTTCCAACTATGTGTTTGACTTTTTGTAGCCTATAACCCTGCTTGACTTTTTAAATTGTCTCAAAAGTATCTTGACTGATGTAAAAAGATTCTACTTATTGCGCAAATACTCAACATCAATTCGATCTACCCACAAAAAAATCCCGTACAACCATTAAACATGGAGGCCCTGCCTTGCAATGAGGCCTGATGATTTCATGGATTCAAAACTGAGAAAGAATATATACATCTGCAAACACCTATGCATATGCTTTACTGATTATGAACTGATGAAAATGTGACCTGCTGTTGAAACTTGTGAAAACCGTTTTCGTTTGCATGAAATGTAATAATCTCAGAGCTACCTTAGGGAATTCTGTGGATATGGAAGGATTACCATGTCAGACTTTATTTATTTCATTTTCTCTTTGGGAAAAGTGAACTGAATCGCTTCAAAGGAAAAAGGAGATTCCCATCTAGGAAAAATTAGTTCATATGTTTCCAAATATCGTGCTGTGAACTGCTATTTGTTGACATGGAGGCCTTCCCATAAAGGTTTTT